TGGACTTTTTCGAATACTTGGAGAAATGCCGGATACACCGTCGGCCTTGCGCGTGACTCGTTGATTTCCGTTTCGGACGCGGTGGAGCTCTCTGTCAGCAGGCTGCGCTTTGTCTCATGAATCTCGTCAATCCAACCTGCTCAAAACGCTCAGAAGAGGCAGGGTGCGGTAGGCAGACATAAAAGGTCGTTGGAACTCCTCGGACCGAGAAAGAGGCTGACTATCTGTTTATGGTTCCTGCTCTTCTAATTTGATGCATTGCGACTGAATCTTTCTCGCGGCTACGCGCTGCTTGAACTTGCGGAATGACCCATTTTGGTCGCTCGTACACCAAATTGAGTACATACCCCTAGAGCTTTAAGCACTGATCCCAGATCACTCGTAGCCTCTGAGAAGAACAGCATGATCCTTGATACGTGACAGATAAATTAGTACTTTGAAAACAGCGGCAGGGATTCTGCGGCGTTGCTGTAGAAAACTGGTTCGAGAAGGAGTTAGCACGTGTGTCGAGGCATGACTCCCCCCTTTTCAACAAATCGATGGCCGACCACAGCTCTCCTGCTGACAAAGACCTTGGGACCATCTCGGGACGCTCTCTGAATAGACGGCATAATGAGAATCCTCTCCCCTAAAGCATTACAGCAGCCACAAAAAAGCCGTTGTTGGGACGAATTATAGTACATTTTTCCGCTGTGTTTGTTCTACTCCGACCAATCGCTGAGCAGTAAGGGCACAGTAATAAGTGGATCCAAGCCAATCAGAAAGCTAGCCATAAGGCTCAGTTTGAGTAAACAAATCAGTCGCGTCGTGGTCTAAATATTTCAATCCATAAGCAAAGCGTCCGTCCCGCATTTTCGAAAAAATTTGTCTCATCATCCTCGCTTTGCCATCGAATTGCAACAAAAACTACCCTAATGATTACGGAGACAGCCTTTTTTCCGGATACTTCCGCTTTACAGCGCAATCGAGACCTTATGAGAGAATTTGAAAGGGCACTTGAGATGAATCCGGCAGCCAATTTGACGGCTCTCATCCCAGATTTCTACCTTCAAAATCACCTGGACGCACAGCCACGAAGTCTAGAAACAAGCACAGCTAAGCTCAATCAAAAAACGGTCAATGAGCTCCAGGACGCCCTTAAAGATGATCCTGAGGTGGACTTGCTTTCAATTTTCCCTCCAAACTACGCTCGTCGTCGGCAACTTGCAGGCCAAACTGGTGAAAAAATAACAGAGCCTGATAGGACGGAACAGCCGACGCCTCCGGATTTTCGGACACGTCTTGATAGCGTGGAGACAGCTGAAATCATCTTCCCACTTTCGAATGATGTGACTGCCATGCTAACACCATTCTCGGATTCTTCTGATGGACATATGTATACCGATAATTCGCTTGTCTCAGTACTACAACGAATGCTTTGGAACTCCAAAAAAATGTGGGAAAATCCGATACGGGGCATCGTCGTTCAATGCAACGACGACATAGTTGCCATAGTTATCACGACGAACGGCGACTACACAGAGTATACGGCTTTGCGATACCTCGCAGAACAGGCTCCCGAAATTCCTGCTCCTAGGCCCCATGGCTTAATCAAGTTCGGATCTTTTTGCATGATTTTCATGTCTTATATTCCGTCCATGACGTTGAGCGAGGCATGGCCATATCTCTCACACGAAGAGAAGATTTCCGTGGAGCATCAGCTAGATGACATCTTCACGAGGTTGAGATCCATTCGTGAGAAAGATGGTCATTGTCTTGGGGGGGTCGGTGGCGAAGGAGTAAAGGGACACAAAGCCAATACAATCGTTAGCACGGCTGCTGGATTTGAGGATTTCAGATACTCCACCCCCCATCGCGGCAGCACCACCTACGCCACTTTCCTTCGCTCTTTTCTCACAGATTCCATTCGAGGTTCGGTCTTCAGTCATGGTGACGTCAGACAAGACAATATCTTAGTGAATCTGAATCAGGACAATGTCTGGATTGTTACTGGGATCATTGACTGGGAGGACAGCGGATTTTATCCAGATTACCATGAATGTACTCAATTGACGAGGACACTGAGTGTGATGGAGGAAGATGACTGGTATCTCTATTTACCAGAGAGTATCTCGCCGCTTCAATTTCCGATACGTTGGCTTGTTGATCGACTTTGGGATATCCATACTAAAACCACTTGAGCCCCATTTTGAAATTATTGCCTGTTTGAACTGTGTTTATGTGTGTGTGCTCTCCTTCCTCCACTGTATTATGATGAATGATGGGAAATTTGTGGATGTTTGACATGTATCTGTAGTTAAATTCATTGTGGTGGGAATACTGAATATCTAGCATAACATCATAAGAGTTTCCCTTCTATGAGGACGCACAAAAGCTCAATCAATGCCTCTAAAGTAGTTGATCTGAATGACACTCAGATATTAACCTGTGTGGGGTAAATGGCTACACATGCACGATCCAACCAACGGAGAGAAGACGCCATCTACACCAACCCTTCCTGCTTTCCACGGACCAAATTCTTCTGGTTCCTATAGCCTCCATCTTTGTTGTTCACGATCGCTTCATCTTCCAGTGCATCCAGAAGATCAAGCACGTAGTCTTGACAATTCCAGCCCCGAATCTCATTGTGAACGGTGACTTTGCTCGCGACAGTCTTGATGGAGCTGGTTTTGGCGACGTCCACGTCGCAGAGGTAAACCAGCTCAACTAGGCTACGCGAGCGTCGAGCGTCTTTTGTCTCCGGCTCATAACGGAATCGACCATCAGAACCCTTCACATGGAGCAAAAGCTTTTCAGCCGCCTGGGGTTCGTCGATGAAGATACCCCAGTGTTTGTAAACTCCCCCGTCGTCGTGGATGGCGACATATAATGAAACAGTTGACGACATATTGAAATTTAACGCTGCGAAATTTAAAATTTAGTCACAGAAGCAATAGTTCTCAATAGAACTTACTTTGATGCGTGATGTTGGTTGAAATAAGGATGTGAATTGATATAATACATCGAGGTTGAGAATTGTGATCGCTGTCCCAATATTTATATGTCCCCTCCATTGAATCGAATTATCACCTCGAAAGAAGTCCCCTAAAATTGAATGGCGCCGAGGATGGTGGACAATTGTGATAGACTATGTTGGCATGCATATGCAATGCAGGCGAAACTTCAGTGCGTCGTAGGTTGCATTACACGGCGAGACGCGCTACATGAATGAAATTTCTAGTGGTTTTGCCGCCGTGAACTGCATTTGTTGGAGTCGCATGTCACAATAGCTTGGAATGAGTTGCTAAGTATGACGAAAAATTAGTGAACCAGTGGCTGCCCAAACTTACCATTTGATGCAGTATGTGGGTAGTCTGATACGCTGTCCATATGTGAAAAAACTGATACTATCCAATCCGTCTATTGACTGACATGGCGCATCGGTTGGTAGTTGTTGTACACATGATAGGCCCACAGACCTTTTGTAATAATGCTTGGACACAGTCAGCGGTTACGCTGGTTGGTAGATACCCGAGGATTGTATCAATCATAGTCACGCAGTTTGGTTTTGCTAATGAGCCTGTTGATGCATAGTCATGTGACCTTACCACGTTCCGTTCCGTCCTGTCCCGCCCTGTCTTGTTCTGCTCGGCCTTCCTCTGCGGCACCTATCAACAGATGCCGTTATTGGCTGAGGGTAGAGAAAGAGGCCCAAGTGCTTCGAGGTGACCTCTATGCACTAGCGGATGGGCGGCTCAGGGCCAGCCCTTTCTCAGCGCCTGACCCACAGTCTAGACCAGCGGCTACGTCGGTAGGAGAGGAGATCCAATTGTGGCACCTCGTGCCATCCTATCTTGTCTAACGTGGCCGAAAGATGATCTTCTCACTCAAGCCAGAGATTGGACGACTGTCCCACTTTTTCAGACCTCAGCGTGTCTAGGCTGGCACAGCAAAGAGCATCAACCAATGACGAGTACGGCGTTGCATGTGTCCTGAGAGGTGCAAGCTGCACGCACTCGCTAGTGTCCCGTCAATTCGCAAGAGCACAGCCCTGCAACCCACTTTACTAGCGAAGGCTATTAAAAGAGCCGTCTTTCGTGTCCTTTTCGACACTTTTTCGACTGGTTTTGGACATCGAAAGCTCGAGTTTTCTACATTGATTTGTAGTATTTGGCGTATTTGGCGCTTTTTATCGACCCGCTCATCGCTTCTTTTCGACGAAAATTCCATTGCATTGTTCCAAAGCATGACTCTGTCTCTTAGTGGTGCCTTAGAGAAGCTTGTCCAGGCTTCAAGATTCGTTGAGCGTCGGAACGGCGTGAAAGAAAAAGAAAAGAAAAAGATCAAGGCAGCTGCCACATTACTGAGGAATGGGTACCCATCCCAAGACTCCATCGGAGCAGGCCGACAGTCGACTTATCTCGACTTCCTCCGCAAGGTTCTACAGCTGAACGGCCCATCGATGGTCGTTCTTTGTGCTATTGGCTTGGGACTTTCGACAATTTCCATCGCAAAGGAGAGTATACGGCTTGATCTTCCATATGAGATCCAAAATCATTCTAGCCTTGACAACCCTGTGCTCCGATGGCTTGCACGTCAGTATCTCAGTTTTTCTCTCTACCCAGAGGCTCCCCAGGCTCCCTTAAAAGCCGATAATGGAACGGTGAACCGAGTCTCCGAGACTCAAGACGCTCTCGAGCATCAGGAACGGGGGCAAGGAAGCTACCAAACCATTCAACAGATCTTTAGTATGACATCTAAATCTTGTGGGTCATGCTGCTAGCTAACATGGTGAAGGGCCACCTGCGGTAGTCACGTCGCCGGATTTGTTGACGTTTCAACCCGGGAAGCGGCAAGACATAGGTATGGCCTTGGCACAAAGTGGATGATTACTGGCTAAATCGACATAAAGACCCTTTGACCGGAGATGTATACGAGCTCAACGTGCAAGATATTCGAGATATCATAGAATCGGGCCAGGTATCAGGCGCAATATGGCTCACAGACACGTATGGAGTGAACACGACATCTTTTGTTACAATTCCAGTCAGTAACGAGCTGACGGATCGATTAATCTTACACCGTCCATTGGCAACATGGAACCAGCCGCCAAACTAATCTGCATCCTTTGCTATTATATACCCAACTTCAACGACGCCCGATGCTCTGAAGCGCCAAGTGTCTCTCCATGGAATGATGATCCGAAAGCCTTCCTCCTCGGTTCCGACTCCGTCAACGTATTCACCGCTTTCTTTCTCGAAAATTCGTATAGCGCCTCTGTTCTGAACAACATCCACGACAATTGCAACCGTTCTCGGTGGAGGGGTAGTCTGAACACCTTTTGATGGAGTCGTCCAGTTTATTCGATCGCAAAAGTCACATGTTACCTGGGGTAATTAGTATTCTTCTCACAGATGAACATTTAACATATCATTCTCACTTCTTTCTTGCATTCTTCGAGAATCCCGCTGTCTGATGAGCTTTCGGTGCGAACTTTTTTGGCTGCCTTATCCATGGTGTCGGGGTGCGCTTTTCTGGTGGAATCCAAACTTGCCAGAGAGAATGAATGCTTTTGTATATTAGAATGAATTACACGTACGCTAGATGAGAAGTGAACGCGCTTGACTTACGTCGCCGCCTAGTCCAATGAGATTAAGGATAATCACCAACGACGTTGCTTTTGTGTTATTTCCTTTCACGTAACACGAATTTTCCGTCAAGGATTTTTGGCCACAGTCATTTGGGGTTGTATCACCTTTGAGTCAAGCAGAGGTCGTTGTAATGCGCTAGTTAATAGCCGAGTGGGCAGGTGAGGGGCAGGAAGAAATTCGTCTTGATATTATCACGTGACAGACGTCTTTGCCCGAAGGGTTGGGCGCTGGTCTCCTGTCAAGACCTGATCAAGCAACAATGACAATGAGCTTTGAGCTTAAAGACTAAAAGTTTTCGCCATCTTCAAGTTCAACATAAGAAGAACAATAAAATTTGAACCCTTGGAATAATTTACCCAAATCTCTGTATAATTATTTACTCTCTCTGAAATATCAATCCGAGATAAGATTAAACTGCATAAATTCATCGAAATTTCGTCGAAAAATCGCTGAATGTTCGACGATATTTCGCATCTCTTCCTTACGTCATAGTCCTGAATCTCGAAACTAGACGTACAGATTCTTTGTACCTATCCACCTGAGCCGTCCCAGATGGCAGAGATAGGCTTGCTCCCACAAGCACAACTAAACCCCTTCAAGACCGTTCATCCAAGTTCATGTGGCGTACTTCTGTTAAAGTTATTAAAGGGTTTCACATGGGGCAGGGGTGGGCGACGAAGATATAAAATGGGAGGCACCTCTCGGCCTTATTGAGTTCTTCGTTTACATTCATATCAGCTTTTACCGTGTTGATTCAATCTTTCTTCTCCATCGTACAAAAAAATTCCATCAAACAGCATGGCATCTGTTCGAAGCAGCCCAAGATTGCTTTCAGAGCACATGGCATCGAAAAAGACTTTGTTCCCTGGTCACCAAGGCATAACGCCGCCGGATAGCCCAACGAAACAATCGACCATGCCTCGAGATACCGTGGAGGATCTGAAGCATCTCTTTGAAAGTGGGCTGCTTAGTCTTACCAATCGAGAACCTCCAAACACTCCTGTCTTCCAGGACCATTCCCAACCAGGCCCCGATATGGTTCAACTGAAGCAGTTGTTAGTGAAGGTCATCCGCGAAGGATATTCTTCAGCTGAACCCCCCGTGGCAAATAAGCGTTCTGAGCCTTCTCAGCCTTGCTTTTCCAGCGATGAGCAGGCAGAGAACGCTCAGGCGGCAAATGAGATTGATCTCGAAATTCCGATCTGTACTACACCGGATGATTTCAAGTCTTTTGAGAAATGGGCTTCAAAATCCCAATTCAAAACAATTGTGGAAACGTATGAGCCACTAGTTAACCACCCTCTCCACTTTGTTAGATAGCTGACACAGGTCTAGCTGGGACCAAGCGGCCTGTAAATACAAGATTGCCGAGCCAACGGAGACTAGAAATAACTTGGACGACTATGCTGAGTATGCATTTATTGTCCGTGAACGTGTTGGTACGTGACACCTTTGCATGCCGGGCCGAAAACCTACTAATAGTATGATCAGACCGAACGTCCGAGGAGGTAGTGCCATTCATAGACATCAAGTCGGAAGGCCTGCGCGACATCCTGCGAGACGTGCTACACGACATCAAGGCCATAAGCCTGATGGAGGACAAGCCATCGGTAATTGAGACAGTATAATCATCAAAGAGCACGCTGACAGGGATTTAGATCGAGCAAAATTTCCTTTTTCATTTCCTCCCAGAGCTCGACAGATGTGCGGAAAACATGGATAGCAATTCAGACCATGAGTCGGCACATGCGGAGCATCTCCTCATGCTCATCGATCACCTCAAGCTCGCATATGCTTCTACCTTGCAGCGTCTCGATTCAATGTTGCAGCACGGTCATATTACATTTGACCTTCTTTGGGCGCTTTTCAAGCCTGGTTGGCATATTTATACCACGTGCATTGGCACAAAAGCGCCGCGATGTGCCGTATTCGACGCGGGAGAAGAGATGACAAAGAATGACGAGACGTGGTTCAATCTCGAGTGCCGATTCCTTGATTATGACGGAGTCAAGTTCGGCGAGGCCGGGATCTTTCTGCGCGTTGCAAAGTTTCGCGGGTCAAAGCCGATCGAGACCCTTGAGGCCTTCCCTCTCCACCATCATCCAAATCACGAGCAAGTCGAGAAAGACTTGATCAAGAGAGGTCAAACATTTCGGGGTTTGGCCGGCTCCCACGTTCGGCACTGTAAAGGCAGCGCATTCTTTATGAACAAGGGGAAGGCTATCAAAGTCAACATCAACAGTCGAGTGGCAGTGGACGCCGCATTTTTCCATGAAATGCAGCCAAACTACTCCCGATCCTCACTCCGCGACATAGGGGTAAATGAAAAAGACTCAATAACAGACGCATTGAAAAGTGCCCCATAAGCATACCTCCCAGGAGCCAGTGAGCCGCTTCCTAGGAGCATCAACGTTATGTCCTGGGAGCCTTGTCGCTCCTAGGAGTACGCCCTCACGATCCTAGGAGCCTGCAATGCTATACCGAGTGGGCAATCTCATTTCGATGATGACGCTAGCAGTGCATGAACATTTTTAGAGACGTGATTTGAAAAGGTATTGTACTCGAGTACCCTGTCACCCCCCGCCTCTACCGGCGAGATTTTTCTCACCCCGCTCCTACTAGATTGTTCTCAGCTAGTTGCCAATATGTACTTTACATCACTATGCACCTCTCTTTGCCTATTTCCCTGGCAACCAATATCCAGCCACTCGGCAGAGAACGGACCAGCCAAGTTATCCCGCAGACTCGAAAGGCCGGTTCTATCTCTTTCCGCCCTCTTCGCTTCTCACCGCATTTGGGTCACCGAGCGCTTTGATGACTTGCTCGAGCCACACATGGCTGTTCCTCTCCAATCCTAAGAGCAACGAATGCCTCAAATGCGAGTCGAAATTCAGCTTCCGTATTCCAAGATTAAAGCATCGGCGGCGAAGGATTGTACGTAAATGCGGCGGCAGCCAACCGTAGTTCTTAAGCCCAGGCTCTTTTCTGTATAAACAATTCTCGCATGTCTTGCCGCGGCAAAATCTGGTTAGTGTCTTAACTGGGCCTAGCGTCATTCTAAGCAAGCGTGAAGAGAAACGCTAACCACCTATATGGCTCGTATGAAGCCTGGGGCAGCCTTGTTTAAAAAAAAAAAAACGGGCACTAACGTGTCTTGCCAGATCACCTGCATGATGCACATGGTGCATCTGGGTCCCTCTTGAACGCGAGGATGTTAATGTACCTTTCCTCGCGCTGCGTCTTTTATCTAGAGTCGACTACTGTATAACTTTTCTTAAACTTGATTATTCATTTACAGAACTCAGTCCCCATCTACGTATGTGTACGGGAGACCCTCACACACCCCAAGGAACACCAGTCAGTCCTCAGATACACCGACTCTGACTCCCTATCTTGGACCCCAAGAAGATTGACGATTTTAAGATCAACGCTTCTAGCATCTATACTGTCGGCTTCTGGGAACTAAACGTCCTCCAAACACTGTACTCACCACCCCTGGGAGCGAGCCAGATCATTCCTGGCCTCTCTTACCTGTGATCCTGGGGGTTGACTGGTGATCTTGGGGATTGACTGGTGATCCCGAAGACAAAGTTGGTGCTCCTGGGGATAGACTAGTGCTCCTGGGGGTTGATTGGTGATCCTGGGGGTTGACTGGTGATCCCGAAGACAACAAGTTATCCAAGGGACTGGAGCAATTTGTGACGTGCTTTCAAGGTGCTAGGAAGGCGTAGACACCGCTACAATGGAGCTGGCGTCGTTGCTTCAGCATAGGATTGTCAATTTGCACGAGACTAAAAGCCACCCAAATGAAGAATGAGAAAAAGAAAACAAGAAAAAGCAAGCTAAGTGAATTCCTTGCACGGCCCCTCGTTTCAAATTTTCCGATGCTTATACTGTATTCTCTCTAATTGTATCACATTTGGTAATCAGACGGTTGGCAACCACGTGATCATGCGAGCAGTAGAACGGTAGACAGTCGGCGAGAGACCCAGTCTACTCATCTACCTTTTACTCATCCACTCAGGAAGAACTCATGGATACTGTATATATATAAGGATACCCATTGATGTATCTAGTCTAGTTCTTCGTCTTCAATCCTACATTGTTACTTGTGTATACCTTTGGAACTTCAGAGACTCTTGTGTTCGATTATAACTTGACAACCACTACGAATCGACCAACACTTCGGTGTAGATCTATTCGGCGCTCTGCCTGGCATCGCTCCTCGATACCCTCGAAAGGACTTAGCCCGTATAAGGCCTGCTAGGCAACGGTACGGTTGAGAGACAGATCGTTGGCAGTTGGCAATCGGCGAGACTTCAGAGAAGTATCCCCCGATTCTATCTAACCTAGCGACGACCATTTAGGCGTGCTGAACACACTGGTGATCGTAGGAGTTTGTCGTTCGGAGCGCTGACAGATGGAGTGCCGGTAGATGGAGTGCCGGTAGATGGAGTGCCGGTAGATGGAGTGCCGGTAGATGGAGTGCCGGTAGATGGAGTGCCGGTAGATGAGTAGGAGTGCGAGTTCGTTTTGTCCTTTTTCTCAATTGTAACACACCAACTACCAGTCTTCAATCCATCATTGAGTACACATGACGCTTGGTTTCCATTTATATTGGTAAAGCTGACCCGTCCCGTGTGATTCACCTGGATCCAGGCTACAGGCGAGCCGTCTTCTGTACCGCATACGTCGACATTGAGCACATTCAATTCGGAACGATTGCCCTTAACGACCTCACTTAGCTCTATGAATTGGTTAATAGCCGTCTTAAGCTTCAATGGAAGGTGCCTACCTGAACAATCAGCTCCACCAAGAGAGCCAAAAGACGCCGAGTAACCCGTGCAGCCATAATTATCGTTAGACCATATCAGACAATGTCCATCATAATCTATGACCTCAAGGGTCCCGGCTTGGGAAGTGCCTGCGTGGATCATAGCTAGAATTGCAATTAATAAAAAATGCATCTTCGAAACACCACAGGAATGATAGAGTATCTTGACTTAGTTAGACGAGATGAAGAGCACATTGCGTGGCTCTAAATATAAGTTGTATGCACCAGAGCATACTTTCAGACATGGTTTATCGACATAGTTTTCATGAGGGTAGCCCAAAATTATCTCAACAATGATCTATAGCCGCAGAGGGTAGATGCCAATCGACATAGCCATTGTGCGACTTTTGTTGGAAAACTTCTGTATTCAATTATAATTTGATTAGGTTAAGGAGGTCTATAAGCTCATGGTAATGAAAGTATAGTGGTATTGCCGCTACAAACTTCAACAGCAGGGCAGAAACTGAGGGATAAATTAGCTCGAATAGACCGGCAGAAAGTTGAGGGCCCAGAGGGAACCAGCTGCACATATTGCATCTACCAGGCTTGGCAGGAAATTACGAACTTGATGGTGTGATACAACAGAATTTTTTTATGTTACTTTGAACCTCCTTGGCCAGTGACGACCATCATGAGTGTGACCGAGTATGAGCTGTAGCTGGTAGAAGAATGACGTGTGTCATTTTCAAAATGGCAAATATAGGCCTTCGAAGACATGAGTTACTACAGGGTGTGTGTGTGTGTTTCATTTACCCTGACCCCTCGCAATGAACAGCGATATGCAGGCTACCTCAACTATATATATCCCTGTACGTACATGTAGAGTGATCCACTTCCTGAAAACGAACTTTGAGCCTCGTCAAGGCCTCTCGTGGCCTAGTTGCCGTTCCCGTTGTTAGGCTGCCCTCGTGGCACGCGACTCCGAAACCGTTGTGACGCCTCAGCAAAGTCCAGCACGGCCTGGACCGTTTTGGCTCGCGAGACGGTGTCTGGTTTACCTTTTTCACCTTGTTTTGAGCCTCCCAGCAGACTCGACACGTTGTTGAACGCATTTCCCACTTCTCCCCTCAACTTCCTCCGCAACTCCACCGGCCTTGGACAGTCTACAAGCACGTGGGTGACTGTTTCTTGCGCGCCACAATCGCAACGGTCGTCGTCGCCATAGCCAATCTTCTTGCGGTAGGTGGACAGCCAGTTATGGCCCGTGCGCAGCTGCGTCCGCAGATACGCCCGCCCCCTGGGTAAGATTCCGTACAGCTTCCTGGTGTGCGTCGCTGGTAGAATATCGTCCATCTTCCGTAAATGACCGCCTTTACTGGATGTTTTCCATTCCTGCTCCCACTGAGCGGCAATCTTGCCGCGGATAAAGGCCTTCTCTCTTGTGAGTAGCGGGCGCAAGAGTTACTATGTATAATTTACCGTTCTCCCTCAATTCATCACTCCCTCTAATCTACAATTCTCTCCCTATTCACCATTTAGTGCCCCAATCCGATTTTTGTTACAGTACATTCAATAGCAATGAACATGTGTGAACGATTGAAAATGCTATCCAACGGGGTCCCTTAACGAATATACCCTTCCACTACAGCTATTATTTGTATAAAACCTTCGTCAACTCAAACTCATGTTACATTACGTAGCGCTACTAACATATTTTACTTTTTCCATATCACGACACATGTTACATACCACCACCCGCCTTGATGCATATAGAGGCTCCAGCTGAGATGATGTTCATCTATACTTCCGTAGAAGTACAAGGATACCGCTCTTGGCTATCCTGTATGCTTACGCACGCGGGAAGGCGTATAGAATAGGAGGCTAATTCCAAAAGGAAGAACCAGCGATTAGTCTGAACAACATTGTATGGAGACTAGGCATACCCTACATTAGTCATTCATATTTCCGCCGTAAATCAGGCACAGGGCACATGTACCTAACAAGAACCCCGTTTACAGCGATATTCGAAATCAGATTTACAGTAACTCCAATCTCTTTCTCTTTGTTTTCCTGAGCTCCACCTAGATCGCACTAGTCCATATTGGGACATCCTTCGCCCGCATTGCGTCTGTGGATGTATGATGGGCTGACGTAGATTACAATACAGTAATCTCATCTCTTGCAACTTGAGATCTTTCTGTTTTCATCAAGTGCCATCTACCAAGTGAAATATTCATCGTGCCCAGCCTTTTTGTTTTGGTTGTCGATCTACCTAATCCATTCTGACCTATTTATGGTCGTGGTAAGTCAGGGCAGATCGATATTCAATGTGCGATCTCGCTGGCGCGGCGGACTATGGCACCGAGGTAAGTGTACCGGGTCCAATTTTGATGAAATGATTTCATAAAAATACCTAACGAGTGTCTGTGTCTTCAGTTGATGAAACAATGAAACAATGAAAGTTGTAGCGGGAAATCAGCATAATCTTCAGTTGATGAAGATTCTTCGCCAGGCTACCAGTTTGACATGGTGACGACAGCCTAGGTTGGTATTAGTGATTGTTCAATCTCTTCGGTTTATTCCGAGCCAAATATGATCAGAAATGGCGTAGTAGCTTTAGAAAGCCCACTTCATCCTCGTACGGGCGTATGGAAGCTGCTCTGCAGGAGCAAGTGGGCGGGAGGCGCACCGAAAAGTGACTCAATCAAAGATAGATCCAAGTCTCGCTGCTTTCAAGAACGAGCTTATTTATGACATGGCCCACAGTAGCAAAGTCCCACCGAAAAGATGGCTTCAGCCGTTGGCTACGACATCAGCACCGTCTCAATGAGAGCGCAGCTTTCTATTGCCATTTGGTATTTTCAGTCGGTCCTTATAATCTCTCAATGTGCATTTTGTGGCATTCCTTCAGGCGCTTCATAGGAATGTGCGTCAAGGCTGGCTAGGCTATTTGCGGCCTTGGGAATGAGGCGCGCTTTTGGAATTTTCTCAACTCGCAATGACGAATAAACGCAAGATATCAAAACGAAACATTAATTTGGCAGTGTAGCATCCTTGAATTCTTGATCTCAAGTGAATAAATTCTGGCTATGCAAGAGTATGATTAAATATCGATGACAATCCCACCTCCGCAGGAAAAATAGTACAAGTGTATTTTCTTCTCATGCTTTTCTTCAAACATGAAGCAATGCGATGCCAGGAATGGCATGTTCTACCGTGAACAGACACTAGGTGTGAATACTATCTCATTTTGGGGATGATCATGAATTAATCAAACATTTAGCAAATCTTCGCTTCTTGTTCGACGGCTCGGTCGAAATCATCACCTCCGCTGGCGATGATGGCTGTGTTATTGCATTTGCATGTCAAATAGCTGGTTGTGATGGAGAACGGGTCAAAATCATGCAAACATACGCTGGGGATGTGTTGAAGGCCCTGAAGGGGCTACATGACATGTCATGCACGCGTCTTAAGGATTTTTCCACTGATTGCGGCCATGGGTTACATCGTGAGCACCTAACTCAATGCTACATACCTGTGTCTATGCAACTACAACTTGCACCAGGTTCAAATGATCTGGCGCGATCGGAAGATAGCAACGTGATGGTTGACATGCCCATTCCGGAGAAAGAGCCCGAAACCCATGAAGCGGGGCTTCGTCATAAAAAAATTCAAGAAGGTATGAAAAACCTAAAAATGCTAGATTTGACCACAATGAAAGAGATACTAAGATGAACACAAGAATCAACCAATGTCGCCATACCCAAAGAGCGGGGTGGTAATCTGACGGGAACTGCCCTGGAGATTTCTCAATATGACTTAACTCCTTCGACTTCAGTTTCTTCGCACGCGCATGTGAGGGGATTTTCAATACTCTTGGATATTTACTACCCGTTCAAAGGGCCTGTGGGTGCTCTGAGATATATAGAAAGCCCAAGCCGTCAAAATATTCTACGGGTTGTGGCACAGATTTTGTCTGCAAGTGACATCGCAGATGACCCAATCTGGCCCATGAGATCTCTGAGTGTTCGGAAAGGGAACATAGTATATGATGTCCTGGGTTACCCAAGGGATGACATTGGCAGCTTACTAGACGATATTCATGAGTCTGAAAAGCTCATCAAGATTGAGTGTGTTTATTAGTATGCATCTGTTTCAAATATCAGACTGAAGGTGGTACGGCAGAGTAGAGTGAGAGCTCGCCAGGTCGTCGAGGCGTTCTTCAGCTCTGATGCTGTGTTTGATTTGCTCGCATTTACATGGAATATTCTAACACACTTACGAGACAAGGCACCGTATCTACTTAAGTATTTAGTCCCCTGATATCCTCAGTCATTCCCAATAGCGGCGCTTTGAGGAATCTCTTAGCATGGCTCCCGCAGCTCCCACCCATTCCAATCGATCTCAGTCTGTCAAAAATTCCATGCGCCAAAAATGAGGTCGTCGCAAATCAAATCCGAATATAGCAAGATGTGCGATGCAGACGTCTGTGTGGGAATACGCCTTCGGGAAACCGGCCAAGTGTTTATCCTATCAGCGGATACTTTGGGATTTTGGGCATTCTTTACGTCGCAACTAGTATGTCTCCAACTATGCCTTTGATAAAATGACAACTGACCTTTCAAGAATTCCGACTATCCTTCCCCAATGCTAATAACAGACCAGGGTCTGGAAGAGCTCGATAAAGATACACTGAAACAACATACATGAAGTTGCACGACCAAAGTGGAACTGTCACCACCGACACTCGATTGTATCCGGAAGCCCAATGCCAAGACATAATACTATACTGTATTGGGGATAGATCCGGAGCATCAATATTCCTGTTAGATAACATGTACAGTGCTTTACGCCAAGTGATAACATGTGCCTCATCGTATAGTCACTATGACGTCTAGACATAAATTCAATACATATATGATGCATACAGTTGGCTCTAAGTTCATTCGCTCGAATTTCGTCTGCAGCATCACTAGCATCCAACATTCGAAGGAATATACCGCATTATTTCTCCCATTCAACTTAAAGATGCCCAAAAAAAAGGTATATGGGTCGAGACCAATGCAAGACCCCTTCAGATCCATCCCAGAACCGCCGGACTCCCCCAAAGAGCGCAATATTCAAAATAAAATTCCTACTCAAGAGCTCCTTCACGCTTTAGGAAGGTATGAGAAGATTCTAGGAGTTCATACA